GTTTATAGAGAGACTAGAAATTCGAAAACACTAACCATGTTCCATCATTGAAGGACAATCTAACATGAAGATAGGCTACCTTATTTTCCCTATCAAGTTTTACAGTTCAAAATTTTCCTTATGTTGCTTTTGTTTTTATGAATGCATTAAAAAGAATGTTCTTTTTACTTTATGAATATAAACCACTTTTTTCCTTGTATATTGGTTTTGTCTTTCTTTGTTGAACTTGATATTAGTTTATTTTTTACTAATATGTTAAGTTTGAAATAATTTGATGAATAAGGACACAAAGAAGTTATAAAAAATCTTAATTGAAAAATAAGTGAGACACATTAAATAAAGAGTAAAAATTATGGACTGAGTTACTTGGAAATTCTACAAGTCTAGGGCAGTGTTATTTTAAGAAGATAGTTGATGCAACTGAGGTTTGGTGGGCTAAAAAAATACAGGTAAGTATTACTTACGTCAATATTATAATATGTTAAGTTAGTTGAAATTCATATTGATAGTCATCTTTAGAATTTTGAAAACAACACCATTTTAAAATTATGTAAGAAAATAATGATTATAAAGTATTTAAGAATAAAAAAATTGAGCCACAGTTAAATGAATTGATGTGGTAAATGTTTGGTGACATTATGGCTACTGAAGAGCATTCATAGGCACTTTCATCAGAAGTTCTTCTAGATGGAGTTTTCGGGGAAGATGTGACACCTATTAAGGGGTTTGAGATTTAGATGAACATGATATTGAAAATGAGGCTACACTTGATGATGAAATAAATGTAAATGCCTCTCTTGAAACTTTTAATCGAGGTAAGCGAGTTGTTGGAATTATACAAAATAAAAGTAAAAAACCAACTCCAATGAAAATAATAGTAAGAAAGACATTGACTACTCAAATTAAAAAACTGTGTAATGGTATGAGTAACCAAAGGATATCGGTAAATGAAATTGTCTTTCCTTGCTCTTTATATCTTTTTTCAAATGCAATGGATGCATTGAGGGCTATCGAAAAATAAATTATAAGAAAGAGCTATCTATATTTTTTTACCACCAAAATATTTCAAGTTTCAGTAAAGCAAGAGGTTTTCTTAAATTTAGATACAGATCTTAGGGCTTGGTGGCTTTAGTGTGAGTATGATGAACAAAATGCTACTATACGCTTTTTTTCCTTGCTAGCAACGTCATGTGGCTTTCAACCATTCTAACAAACACCTTGACCACCACCTCTATCAGGTTCTTATGGGTCATTGATGTGAAATAAAAGTAAGTGATTATATTTTTTGGTTTAGGAATTGTCAAAATATAGTATTATGATATTTTGAGTTGTTGTTAATATATGTATGTACAGGTAGGTTGTATGTTTCTTTTGATGTATGGTCATTTTAGCTTAAACCCAAATGAAACATTGTATTATGCTTTTGTTAAGGTACCTTATATTATATTTTAGTGTATATATGTAATGTTATGATGCAATGTCATAAAATGTGAATATGTTTTTTTTTTCAAGTTATGGATGACTTTAATAATTTATATGAGAATTTTGTGATGAATCATGGTAATGTTGAAGTAAATGAAGATAATCAATAGAGAATAGCCACAATTGTTACACAAGTTGAGCAGAATAATTATTATGATGTGAAAGATAATGCAATTAGTAGCATAGTAGTGCATTATAAAACTTATTTTGCTAAATATCCATGTATGAATTCAAATTATAATGAAGAAAAATGGGTCCCAGAGATATTAAATAAGCATGATAATTGTTGGATGAATAGTTTTAGGATGCCAAATAATATATTTTATCATTTGTTACATGATTGGCAATCAAGTTATGGTTTAAATAAAGGGAATGTCTATGTATCGGAGAAATTAGCATTATCATTATACATTCTTGGACATAGGCAAACAAATTTTAAGCAAAAGAGCAATTTCAATAATCTGATCATACTATTAATCGAATTTTTCTAATATAGTGAATATATATGCTTAAATGGGAATAGACACGATTAAACCAATTGAAGGTCAATTTACGGAAGTTCCATATTTCATTCGAAATAATATAAGATATTGGCCACATTTTAAAGTAAAATTTAAAGATTTGAAATAAATTTGAGATAAAAATTATTAATAATTTTAATCTCATTATTTTTATTTGATTATAGGATTGCAATGGAGCTATGATAGACCTTATAAAATCTTGTATTTTTTTGTCCCAATAAATACCTCACAGTAGTAGGAAAGGTGAACCAACACAAAATATTATGACGGTTTGTGACTTTAATATGTGTTTTATTTTCTCATATCTTGGTTGGGAAGGTATAGCACATGATAGTTGAACTTTTTCCAAGCATTTAGAAGGCAAAATTTGAATTTTCCACACCTTCCATCAGGTTTAAGATTTTATATTATTTATTAATTACTTAAAATAATATTATGTTCAAAATTATTTTTTCAAAATGTAAATAATTTTTGTAATTTTTACTTTTATATGTAAATATTATCTTGTGGATTTAGGATATTTACAAATGGTTGGTTTTTTGAGACCATACAAGGATGATGATATCATTTACCTGATTTTCATCGAGAGAATAGTTGCATATTAGGAAAAAAATCTTTAATCATGCACATTTTTCATTAGTTTTGTAATTGAACGAACATTTGAAGTATGTAAGAAAAAATGACCAATTTTGTGAGATATTTCATGTTATTCATTCAAGAAGCAAGTTCTAGTCGTAAATGCAAAAATAGTTTTGCTTAATTACATTTGAAGACGTGTTGGATTAAGTAATAAAGACTTTAGAGAATTCTAGAATATGCTTGACATGCCAACTTCTACAAGCAATTTTGATCAAGGTGAATAAAGTTCTATTAATTGTAGAATTACAATGTTAAGAGAAATAATAGCGGCTAGTCTAATGGGTTCGTCTTCCCATGCACCTAGCCTATTACATAATTCTAATAAAACTTTGTATCAAAGTTAATTTATTTTCTAAAAATAATTTTAATTGTTGTACTTTTGTAGTCATCTTTGTTTTTTTTTTTGTAACTTGCTCTAATTACATAAATATTCAAGGTAAATTCTCATTTATACATGAAAAATGGAAGTAGCTTGTTGTAATTATATATTTTTTTGTCTTTTGTAAATTGAAAATAAGACTTCACTATGTTGTAAGTCCATTGTTTTATAAAATGAGATTTTTAAACGATGATGTCTAACCTTTTTTTTTTTTATTTTGGTATTTTATTTTAAATTTTAGTAAATAGTTATGTTAATATAATTAAATTTGTTAATTGTGGTAATGCATTTGAGAAATACAATAATTATTATAAATATGATGTTGAAAGTGTATGAAAATAAATTATTATAAATGCGTCAACTCAGAGCAAATTTCAATAATAATTTCAATATTTCTTACCTTAATAAACAATTTTAATATAAAAAATATATCATTATTTATTTAATAAAATTTTAGATTTTAAGTGTTAAATAACCTTAACATATATACATAAACATAATTCTCACTATTTAATAATAAAAGTATTATTTGATATAAACATAGCTTTACTAATTTTCAATTTATTAACAAAAATAATATTTGATATTAATATAATTTTAATAAATTTTAATTATTTATTAATTTAAAAGTATCAAATATATATTATAAATTTATTATATACGAGTTTTAATATAATTTTGTTAATGTAATTTTTTATTATCACTACATTTTATTTTACTTCTACTATTATTTTTGCATCTAAATATATATCTCACTATTAATTTTAATTTTACTATTATAATAATTAATCTCATTGTTATGATTGTTTTTAGTCTTATTGCCTATCCAAATGAATCCTTAATTTTTTATTCCGATTCCATTTTAATCTCTAACTTTTGAAATATTTCATTTAGGTTTTTAATATTTTAAAGTGATTTCATTTTAATCCTTTTATCACATTTTTGTCTATCACATTTTTGTCAATAAAATATTTAACCAACACACACTTTTATATAAAATGATTAGAAGATCATTTTATTATAGATTATAGATTATATATAAATTATAGATATAGATATAGATATAGATATAAATAGATTATAAATAAGTATATTTTGTTATTCAAATAGTCTATATTAAACAATAAAATTATTAATTTACATGCATATAATTTTTTCATTTTTATTAAAAAATATCAATTTGAATTAGTGATAAAATTAATTTTGATGAGATTAAATATATTGATAGAAGTGAAATTGATTGTTTTAGGGGTAAGAGTAAAATCAATGTTAAAAATATATGTTTAGACACAAATGTCATGGTGAGAATATTATAAATTGTAATATGAAAAAATATATAGATTAAAGATATTATATTAAAATTTGTATGTTATAAAAAATTTAAATTATGTAATACTTATAAAATTAATAAAATTATTGAATTATTTTTATATCAAATCATGAATAATAAATAATTTGATTTTATAAAAAAATTGTAAAAGCGTTTAAGTACACAAATTAAAAGTAAAATAAAATTTAAAAAAGGGTTTAAAAATATAAAAGACAAGAGAGCGTTAAAAGTGAACCAAAAAAAAAAAAACGATTGAAATTTGATTTTTTCGCTGGACCTATAAAAGTTTGGTGAATGACTGAAATTGCAGCATAATGATTCACCGCATATTTGTTATAACAAAAAAAATATATCAAATCAGGCCTAAAGCGATTGGAGGCATTCTCGACGTTTCCACCGCGCGGCCACCACAACAGATTCGATTGTTGTCCTTATCAATAAAAGCCAAGCCCAATACTTCCAATCTGTGGGCACCCTTGTTATTATTGTCTCCTTTTTTGGTAAGAAATCTCATTGAAATGGTCAACCCCATTTTTTATTGGATGAGGATTAAGTCAAAACAGCTTTCTTTAACCCTTTGATTTTGTTTGTTCGGTTTATAAAGATTTTCGAGTATATAAAAAATGTTTTTTTTTTTTTTTAATTTCACAAATTCAAATAGAGTTTAAATTTAATAAAAACAATTAATATTTTTTTCGACTGATATGAAATTTAACCACAGTTGACTTAGTGTTTGGTAGGTTTGACTGATTTTGTTTTGCATCCTATTTAAACCTCGTCCATCTCGTGTATCTCCTTCCCTCTCACAGAGAAGTCTCTGGCAACTCTGAGCGACCACCAAAACTCCCAACGACACCAAATTTCATAGAACTGAAGGATCTTCTCCACCTCCAATTCTCCTCCATTTCTGCATTTACGGTTCCTCAAATTCCGTTCCGGTGAATTTCAAAAACAAATGGAACCGTCATCTTCTTCCTCCGGTTCGGTGAAAGTTTCGCTGGTCGATCTGATGTCAGCAATAATAAAGGCCAAAATGGACCCTTCCAAAACAGCTGCTGAGATGGCCACCATCCTTCTCGAGAACAAGGAGTTCGTTATGATTTTAACTACCTCAATCACGCTGCTCATCGGCTGCGTCGTCGTTTTAGTCTGGCGTAGATACGCTTCTCAAAAACCTAAACAAATCAACCCTCCTAAGCCTTTGCTCGTTAAAGTGCCCGAACCCGAAGTCGATGATGACAAGAAAAAAATCAGCATTTTCGTCGGTACTCAAACCGGCACCGCTGAAGGCTTCGCCAAGGTTCCATTCTATTTATATATTTTTAATATCTTTGGTTTTCATTCATTTATTTATTTATTTTTTCTCGATCATGATTTGCTTATTGGTTTTGTTTATTCATTTCTTTTTAACGTGACTCAGGCTTTAGCTGAGGAGGCAAAAGCGCGCTATGATAAGGCGACGTTTAAAGTTGTAGATTTGGTACGTTTAATTTTGACCTTTTCTTTTTGGTGATTAAGTTTCGAACTCGAATTGGCGATTTTAACTATTGAACTTTTTTTGTACTATAAATAGGATGATTATGCGGCGGATGATGATGAATACGAGGAGAAGATGAAGAAAGAGAGTTTGGCCCTTTTCTTCTTAGCCACGTGAGTTATTTTGAATCATTTTCTTTTTGATAATTATATTTATATCATTTATATTCGTATGTATAGATATTTTGGGAATTTGTTCTGCTGATATAGTAAATTTGGTGAACTTGTAGATATGGAGATGGTGAGCCGACTGAAAACGCAGCTAGGTTCTATAATTGGTTAATTGAGGTAAATTTTAATTGTAATTAATAAAGGAGGATAATTAGTTTGATTGTTTTTACTGAAATTATGATACTGCAGTTGTATCTAGAATGGGATTTTTTTTTTAATTAGCTGTGTGGATGGATATTTAGGGAAAAGAGAGGGGAGAATGGCTTCAGAACTTGAAGTACGGAGTTTTTGGCCTCGGTAATAGACAGTATGAACATTTTAACAAGGTTGCAAAGGTGGTTGATGACATCCTTACTGAGCAGGGTATGCTTCTTTATTTTCCCCCTGCTTATAAACGGATGCGTTGTTCCATGGATTTCTAATTGTTTTACTTTTATTCTAATAGCTACTTGGATGCTAAAAATGCTGTTAATGTTTGCTAACTATTTTTTTTTCATGAATTATGATGATGCTTATGGGAGTGTGCTTGCTTGCTTTAAATAGTTTTCAGAGTTAAATTATCATGAATATAATTTAATTTCTATAAATTGCAGTAATGTGCATATATTTAATTGGTGTACTATCAGAAGTTGCATCTTAGATATTCCACCATTTCAGTATAAAAACTATATTATTACTTAGCTATAGTGACTTTACCACTTCATGAGGGGAAAGCTTTATTGAAAGAAGAATGCAGAAGTTTACAGTATATCTTTTTGATCAAAGAGCACAAAAATCAGTCAAACTGTTAGTAGGCCTTTCATTGTACTTGATTGCCATGAAAAGCTTAACATCCCTTTCAGTCCAGAACTAGAATGTGCATCTTTTGATTAAATTTTTTGGCTTCTTTTATTTCCAATCCATGAAAATTGTGAATAGATGGGCATTGTGTTTTCAGCGAGGTAAAGTGAATCTTGACATGTAGCCAAATGTTTCTATTTATATATTCTAATGTTCAAATAGAAATAGACAGATGGATAAAATACTTGGATGCATGTAGTGAAAGATTGTTTTAGAGTTGGCTCATATACAATGGCATTGTTTTAGAGTTGGCTCATATACGATGGCATCTAATTTTCACCACATTGGAACCTGTTGCCTAACATTAGCCTTACTATATTTACAGGAGCAAAGCGCCTAATTCCTTTGGGTCTTGGAGATGATGATCATTGCATTGAAGATGACTTTTCTGCATGGTATTTAGAACTTCAACTCTGTTTTCAATCAAAAGTTTGTTCATTTTTTTACTTTTATTATTTGTCGAACTATCTCGCTCTTCTAGGTGTGAACTAGTCTGGCCTGAGTTAGATCAGCTTCTGCTTGATGAAGATGATGCAACAACTGTTTCTACCCCATACACTGCTGCTGTGTTGGAATACCGTGTTGTATTTTATGATCCTGCAGATGCACCTCTTGAGGATAAGAACTGGAGCAATGCAAATGGTCATACTATTTATGATGCTCAACATCCATGCAGGTATACAAGAATAGTTTTTTCAGCTATCCTGGTGGCCATTTGGTTTAGTATTATTCTTTGATGCAATCTAACTTTTTTTTTTTTTTTGTTTCTAACTTGAAGGTCTAATGTTGCTGTGAGGAAGGAGCTTCATACTCCTGCATCTGATCGTTCTTGCACCCATCTTGAATTTGACATTGCTGGCACAGGACTTTCGTAAGTTGCTTTCCTAAATCATTTGGTAAATGTATTTGTAAATTTTTTATGTTGCAAACCTCCCTTTCTCTTTTATCCTCATTTTCTAAAACTAGATGCTGAGTCCTGCCAATTTCAAGTTTTCTTGTTAACATCATAGGGAACTTCGTCTGCTTGTCTTCCTTTTCAGATATGAAACAGGGGATCATGTTGGTGTTTACTGTGAGAATCTAGATGAAGTTGTAGAGGAAGCATTGAGATTATTGGGGTTATCACCAGACACCTATTTCTCTGTTCATACTGATAAAGAGGATGGTACTCCACTTGGTGGAGGCTCTTTGCCTCCTCCTTTCCCACCTTGCACTTTAAGGACAGCACTGGCACGATATGCTGATCTTTTGAGCTCGCCGAAAAAGGTTAGGCTATTTTATTTTTCTCAATATATCATGAACTCTTCTATCTTTTTCTTTAAGTAACTAAGCTAATTCTTTAATTCATACAACTTCCAGTCTGCCTTACTTGCTTTGGCTGCTCATGCCTCTGATCCAATTGAAGCTGATCGACTAAAACACCTTGCATCGCCTGCTGGAAAGGTTATAGGAGTGAATTTATATTAGTTTGGTTCCACTATTTTGTGGCTTATTTGTAAGCTAATGCACTTTCTGGCGTTTATACAGGATGAATATGCACAATGGATGGTTGCAAGTCAGAGAAGCCTCCTTGAGGCCATGGCTGAATTTCCTTCAGCCAAGCCTCCACTTGGCATCTTTTTTGCAGCTGTTGCTCCAAGGTTGCAGCCTAGATACTATTCTATCTCATCCTCGCCAAGGTAATCCTATTTTCTTATCTTTTCTTGCTTTGGCAAGTAGCTTTGCATTAGGAAAAACTCCATTGTGATATTTGGGTCAATTTTGGAGTGATGATTCCTCATTTCTAGATCAGTTGAGCGTGAGAGCTTGCCCTCTTGTGGAAAATGACACCACAATTAGATCACGATGGAGTCATCCAATTCAATTTTGTTTTTTCATTTCCTACATTAGCAATGAAAACCCTTCTAAAGAATAAGGCTAGGAAATCTGTAATAGATGATTAAGTTAGTAGCATTATGAATCTCTCATTTAGGAAACTTCTATCGTCTCCAATTTCACGTTTTATTCTAATTCTAATATTTTTAAATGTATGTGGACATATTTACCATCTATAATTATGTTTTACAGGATGGCCTCATCTAGAATTCATGTAACTTGTGCATTGGTTTATGAGAAAACACCAACGGGTCGTATTCACAAAGGAGTTTGTTCAACTTGGATGAAGGTACTCAGTTCAACATGTTTTCTTTTTCTCTTTTACATAGTTAGGAGAAGTCAAGCTCTGAAGTTAATGGAGACTTAGATGACATTTTTGAGATACATGATGTGTAGTTCCTGGTTGCTAAGTGCTAACTTATTAGCATCCATTTTTAACTCTCCTTTTATTATACTTCCCTCTTGTATTGTACATATCTTTATAATTGAATAATAGTAGTAATATAATCTTTATCCACATTGGCCCCCTTTCTTTTTCAGAATTCTGTGCCCTCGGAGAAGAACCATGACTGCAGCTGGGCACCTATTTTTGTCAGGCAATCAAACTTTAAACTTCCAGCAGATACTAAAGTGCCCATTATTATGATTGGCCCTGGTACTGGATTGGCTCCTTTCAGGGGATTCCTTCAGGTAAGTTTTGTCACCTTTTCCTCGTTCATCATGTTGAATGAATTTTTAAGCTAATTATTTGTATTTTCTTTTTTAGGAAAGACTTGCCCTAAAAGAAGCTGGAGCTGAACTAGGTCCATCTGTATTGTTCTTTGGCTGCAGGAACCGGAAAATGGTTAGTCGTGTGCTTTCCAGTATTGTGATTAGTATCTCCCGTGGGTTTAGCGATATGCTTGTAATTAAACTACAAAGTTTAATTCAGTACTTTTTTCTTGGTCCAGGACTATATTTATGAAGATGAGCTCAACAACTTTGTCAACAGTGGTGCACTTTCTGAGCTTGTGGTTGCTTTTTCTCGCGAGGGACCTACTAAGGAATACGTGCAGCATAAAATGATGGAGAAGGTACTGGACATGTTTCGCCTACCATGAATTTCAGGATAGAAGCTTTTTGAAGGTTTTAAGTTCTCTTACCAGTATATTAATTTGAAGCTCTAAACACCTTTCTGCCTTATTTCCAGGCCTCAGACATCTGGAACATGATTTCTCAGGGAGGTTACATATACGTGTGTGGTGATGCCAAGGGCATGGCTAGGGACGTCCATCGAACTCTACACACTATTTTGCAAGAGCAGGTACGTTTATTACGTGAATCCTAGACTATATAGTTGTTAATATGAATAATTGAATATATAATTGGTAATTGGGTGCAACAAACTTTACCAATATCAGGGATCTCTAGACAGCTCAAAGGGAGAGAGCATGGTGAAAAATCTGCAAATGAGTGGCAGGTATCTACGTGATGTATGGTGATGATTACCATGAAAATACAAAAAGAAATTGCATAAACTATATTTATACATATACCGAGGTCATATCATTTGGATGAAAAAGGCTCGAGAGAAGGCTACCTGTAAAACCATCTCTGCCCCTAAATTGGTGGAGATTAAATTTGTTCATTTTTACCGCTACAATATGATGGGTTTTTTTTTAAGGTTCATGTAATTTATGTATATAAATAATTATTAAATTAGAGGATTAGCTACAGGAATGGAATAATTAACCGGCCGGCGAAAGAAAGGAGGTTCAAATGACAAGCAAATGTTGTTGTTGTTGTTATTTCTCCTACTACATGTAACTGAATGGACATGTAATTGAAGTTTAGAATCTCAAGTGATTGCTGCTAGTGGTGGACGTGGGCGCTGGAAAAAGTCAAATTGCGCCTCCATTGCGCCTGCATTTTACTCTGCATTTGCTGTTACGAAAAAGTTTGTGATGTATGCTTGTGCTTGCTTAATAATTCAACAATGACTTTTCAATGAAAGGCAAATGATTTAAATATTGTTTCTTCTCGTATTCCAACAAATTCGTTACTCAAAAAATTCTTCGGACTTGAAGTTTATAAAGCGGAAAATAACCCCCCAACCCCCCCCCCCCGGTAAAAAAAGGTGACATAAAGGGCAAAAACGGAAAAGGTCAGGTTTGAATTTTGAATATGTATATGATACCCCTTAATTTTTTGTACAATCAAATTCGAACGTTTCTCTGTTTCTAAATGACGTGATTTTTTTATCGGAAACTTGCATCTGAATTGAACAATTCTAAGCAACAATCATAAAAATAATTTTTTTTTTTTTTATTGATCAAGTCAAGGATCTTACTCAAAACAAGCCCCAGTTACCTAGTTAAAGTCAATTATTTTATTTTCCAGTTTAAAAATTAATTGGATAAATCATTCAAAATTTTCAAATCATTGAAAATTAAAACTTTTAATGGTTCTATATTAAATTTTTAATGGTTTTTATATTTTCAATGTATTTAATAACCATTTTTAAAAATCACTTAATTGAAGATTTTCAATGAAAAAATTTTGAAAATGTTAAATAACTTTTAGCTGCTTAATGAATTAAGTCAATTTTGTTTAATAAAAAATGTTATCTAATTGCATTAATTGCATGTTCTTTCCTTTTAACAATTTATTCTTTTTTTTAATTGAAAATAACTTTAAAATCATATCTAGATTAATAAAAATTTTACTTAACATTTAATTTTCAATAGCATATCAAACAACACTTAAATCATAAATTCAGTATTTAAATTTTTTTAAACTAAAAATTTAGTACTTAATTTTTAATGTTAAATTTATTCCATTTAACAAATAACACCTGAGTTAGAAGTGTGTATGGTTCCATAGAGTCATTTTAGTAGTAAAAAAAATACATTAATTTTTTTTTTTTAAATAGAGAGGGTTGACATATATACCAAATTGCATTTATTTGTTGCTGTTGAAAACAACTTCAATCAAACTGAATTGCTATGTAAAGAGGCTGAATGAATTCCTAAATCAATCAAGAATTAATAAGGAAAAGGGAAAAGAGAAGAGAAACAATTTTACCCAATTTTTTTAATAAAGAGGCTTATTAATCCAACCACTTCAAGTGAGTTACTGGTTGGGATAGACCTGCATCACCATAATCTTCATTAAATTATTTGTGAGGATTAAAATTATTATTACTATTGTGTTTTTAATATTTAGTCTTCCTTTGAATCCTCTTACTTCATTATTCACTTGAGTGAAAAACTCTATTATCTACTTGGCTGAAAAAGATATTGCATGCGTGTAAAGTTATTTGAATCTACAACCTTCGACCGCCAACTCAAATGTCATGCTATTAATCTAAAAGTCAATTAGCTACTATTATTTAAGAAAAAAACAAATGAGTTGTTGTGATATGTTGGAAAAAGATGCAACAGTTAATTGGCTAAAAGATGCATATTCCAAATAATGTTGGTAAGAGCAGTAAATAAAAACACAGTTTAACTATATAGCAGTTTGTTTGATCAGTGGATTAAATGACATACATGACCTCCAATAATGCTAGATAAAACTTACATCAGCTCTGGTCTAATAGCCAAAAGTTCTAAGCATAAACCATATGAGAACCCATCTAGTCTCTATCAGCATCTTCTATATCTTCATCTTCAGGAACCCCGCGAAGATATAGAACATTATTACATCTGCAGCAGTAATGGCAGTTGGTTCATTCATTTTTAAACATGCAAAACATGTAATCTAATTTTCTTCTACATACTATCCTCATGTCATAATTTGATGAAAGGTAGCTGTACTGAAATTCTCATATAGTGACAGGAAACAGGCATGGAGATGGAGGCATTGTAGTTTCAATATTTTCAAAGGTAATCAAAGGGCGCTGAAACAATCTAGGTATGAGATAAACTCCTTTGTCATTTGTGCGTGTCAACTAACCCATTTGTTGCTCAACTAAACTCAAATCAGAACAAACATGAGACAGGAAATCCAATAGCTAATTCACCAGTATTAGTAAATGTTATTGGTAGCAAACAGCTTTTCATTCCAGACACCATTTGTTGGACTAACTTGCATGAAATCTCATCAATTATTTCAAAACTCTTGTTTTTTGACAGATAAAGTGCAACTGGACCATGGTGCAACACGCAATTTTATGACATTCAATCTGAAAAGCTATATGTAACTATTATTGGGCAGGTGCAGAAAAACTGATGGAACAGAACCTGATGCATTATTTATACCAGATAAAAGCAACATGAATTTTACGAAAATAACAAAGATTAATGAAAAAATATATTCTCTCATAACTGGAGGATAAGAAATATCTAGCATTACAGCAATAACAATATGCTCTAAAGATTCAATCAAAACAATCTCTACCAAGCCAAGCAAAAATTTATTAAAATGCAAGACAAGCACTTAACATGTATAGGATATGATACCGCAAAATCAAGCCAACTGCCTTAATATCAATCATTCAGTGGCAAAGAGAGTTCATTATAGATACAATTCAGATAAACCAAGAGAGCAAGGGTTTCCGATTTAATGCATACAAAAAAGGAAAAGGAAATATTGACAAAGTCGTGGAACCCAACCAGCCAAAAATGAAAGTAGGAACAAAATAATAGAATATGATTACAAATAGACTATTTAGAAAATCCTAAAGATAGAGCAGTCCATGTGAATTCAGAAAATATAAATAGAAACAAAAAATCTGCATTGTTAAATTTTAGCTTCAGCAATAGCATTTAATGTTGATGAGACTATCAACATATGTACTGGAAATTGATCAACCCCCACCCCCCCTTTTCATTACCCAAATATCCATAAAAAGATAAAAATTAAAAATTTGTGAGATGAAGTTTTAGGAGAGGAAGGGAAAAGAAGTGATAAAAATTTGGAAGGAATAATAAAAACAATTCTCACACATGACAGCATGCCACTTAACCAATTTATTCAATAATATGTTAAAAAGTTAAACTACTCCAAAGTATCTAGATAAGCTTTTCTAATGTCACTAAACGAGAAAAACAGACTTAAATTTATTACTGGTTATAGTAGATATATGTGCTTTTTCTCTATCATGATTACTTTTTGAATTAAAAAGGTCATGCCATTGACCAATTAAATCAAAATAAAGCAGCATCAATAACTGTAACTCGAATATTCAAATTTCAAACATGCACCATAACACCCCACACACACACACAACACAAGTGTGCTAGTGCACACTCATTCAAACCCACCCACCTATCCACACCTCACAGTGCCACGAATAGAAACCATTATATTATTCCGTATATCCCCTGCATTTCAAACACACACAGTTACTCTGTCTAGTTCAAACAAAACAATCTCTACCAAGCTCAGCAAAATTCTTTCCACTGCAGGAATAATGCAAAACCCACCAGGTAATTCTTCAGATTTGCATGACAACATTAACTGAAGAAGACACCCTATTAGTGAATACTGAGGCATCCACATCTCACAAGGAATAGAGGAGCTCCGATGCCACATCTCAAATGAGAAAATCACAACTAAATTATTTAAGATTTTCCTTGTACAAAGCCGGAAATTGGAATGGCTTTAAATTCATTCTATTCAGTAGATGCATTTTGTTTTCTAAGAGTTTCCTTGTATATTTTCTCCTGATATAAGATATAGTCCAAACATTCAACCAACTCTAGAGATTGACATAACAGCAATAACAATATGCTCACATAAGATAAATTCAAGGAAGAACAATCTAGCATTTGGAAGAAAATACCTGATTAAAATCTCCCCTAGATTTCCAGTGAATTGCCCATCGATAAACTCTTCTGCATTGCCGAGCTACCGAAAAAAAAATCAATTCATTGGAAAATGTTAGCAACAATGCCCTTCAATACAGAGAAGAAAATACAAAACAGTTAAAAAAAAAAAACTCCATGGAAATAATCAAATACCATTTCCAAGTTCAAACAACAATATCATACTTAAATAAATGACAATGATAATATCAATGTAGTTCCAAATTTCACAAAAAAAAAAAAAAGCATGCAATTTAGAAGTTATAATTCAAAAAAAAAAAAAAAGGTCACACCTGCAAGTTCATGTACGAATCAACCGAGGCAAGAAAACCTACGAAAAGCACACAATCAAGCGCAATGTTAGAATATCAACCACCAACGAAAAAAAAAAAGAATTTTTTCGGATAATCAAAATGAAAAGAAAAGAAAAGAAAATTTTTGCATTACCTTTGTATTCCATCCCCCATTTGAGCTTCACTATAACAGTCTTTCCAGTCAAATTGTTCAAGAAAGGTTTTGGGTTAACAGGTATTGTCTACAATGTTCAAACAGATTTTAAAATTTAGACTTCAAATTACACTAAAAAAAGTGTAAAACGAATAAAGAAAATCAATAAATTTCCACCACGTAGAGAAGAAATGAAACTTTGAATCACAAGGAATAAATCTAAAAAGATTAAGAAAAAGAAAGAAACTCACAGCCATTAACGAGAATAAAGGAGGCTTCAGCGGTGAGCGGAAAAGTTAGGGTTTCGACTTTGAGTCCTTTCGCCGTTGGCTTCGACAGGGTTTAGGGTTGTTCTCTTCTAATCCAACAGCAGGTGCCAGGTGGCTTCCTTTACAGCGTTGGATTTTGGGCTTAAAAAAATTGGAAGAGAAAAAAGAATGGATTGTCGCCATGATCCAACCCAAAAAGCCCAATTATTACGGACAATCTTGATTTAGGAGTCTTTAGAGACCAATTCAACCTAAAAAAAAAACGAAATCTTTTAAGCATTATTATATATATTCTTTATTTATTCTTCTGTTTACTTAAATATTTTCTTTGGAAGATTTATAATTTAAAATAATTTGTACAAAAAATAAAATATAAAAATTTATCAAACTTATAGTTTTAAAAACTAAAAAATAAACATATGCTATGACGTGTAAACATATAATTATTTAAAAATAACTTATAACAATGATTTTTTAAATCTATTGTATAAAAATTAATCCTATAGCGATGTCCGTGTAATTAACTCGTATCTATGAATCTCAAGTAGATATATAGTATATATATATTTTATGGACCACTCGGATTTTGAAGTTTTGGACTAAAATAAGATAGAACTTTTGGTTAAACGAGACTTCGGTTTGTTCCTTGTAGTTGCTGAATTCAGGTGCTGCATCGAACCGAAGCAATGTGCTTGCTGATGTCTTTGTAGTTTGGATTCACGTTGTGATTTTGGCAACCTAAATGCTTGATTGAAAAAAAAAAAAAGCAAAAAAAAAGGAGATTAATAGCAAAATCATGACTCATCGGAGATCACATCAGTTCAAATTTTTAAGAAAATATATTTATGAGTAACATTAATTTCCCGTTGGTACAATGATCAAATGAAGTGCTATTGCCGTTAGAATTTAGAATTTGAGTAAGTTATACGTTTAGTAATTCAATTTTATGTGGTATTTTATTTTGATCATTTAAATATAAAAATTTATGTTTTGATTACTAATATTTATGAAATTATTTTTATTACTTTATCGTTAAAAATTTATTTGGATAAGTAATGAAATTGACTTAATAAGATTGAAAAAGTGGAACATGTTTGATTAATTGCTATAACTATAAAATTAAAATAAATGGTGAGATATGTGTTTGGATATAAAAATAATAATGATAATAAAATAAATCGTAGTAAAAATAAAAAATAATTATTAAAAATATCATATTAAAAAGTTATAAATTATTTAATATTTATAAAATTAATAAATAATTAAAATTTAATAATATTAATTTTGTATTAAATAATAGTTTTTAATAAACATTTAAAAGTTCATAAAACAATCGTAATATATCATATGTTTTTCTTAAAAAATTTATTAGTAAAGAGGCGCTATGGTGAAAATAAAAAATTTCACCTAACCCCTTTCCCTCTAGTAAACTTTTACGTCCATGGTGCGATTATTTTGGTGCAATCACACAATTTTTTGTTATCCAAATATCTTGTACGAGTGAGATTGTTCCAGAAAAGTCTCTAATTGCATCAAGATGGTACTTTGATGGAATCCAAGTATAGCAGAAGACTCGTAACATGTCTGAATGCCATTGTCACATCATCTATTGACATAATGTGACATCGCCACGTCATCAACATGTTAATTGTTATGATAAATTTTAAACAAGTTTTTTGAAAATAAAAAAGTAAATTACACTTTATTCATTTAAATTTTTGTGAGTTTTATTTTAATTATTTAATTTTGAAAATTTCATAATTTCATTATTAGCATTTGTGAAATTTATTAATATTTTAATTTTTATTATCAACGTTTTATTATGAATGTGATTTTGTAATGATTTAAATATCAACATTTGTGAAATTTAATATAATAATTTTTTATTATTTATGCTATTTATGTTAAAATATTTTTAAAAAAATTCAAATAAGCTTTAAACTTTATATAAAATAGAAATAAACATTCTATATTTTTTTATATGAAATTAAAACTACAAACTTTTATTTTATTGTAATACAAACTTTTATTGTAATTATACCTTTTGAATTTGAGAAATGAGTGAATAAATCAACTTTTTAAAATTCTTAAAATAGCATTACTAAGTATTTGTCATCTCTTGGTAAAAAAAAGTATTTGTCACCTAGCTAATTTAAATAATTCAAGTAAGTATTTTTTTTATAAATTACACCATCCAACCAAAAAAACTTAAATGAAATATGAAATAATTCATTACAAAATTCTAATAACAAAAAAGTTTATAATCTTAATTTTATAGGAAATATAAATAATATATAGAAATAATAAAATAATTTATTATATTAAGTTTTAAAAACATCATGATTAAATTGTTATAAACCACATCGATCGGGAAACATTAATAATAGGGACTAAAATATTAATAATTTCAAAAATGTTGGTGGTCTTGTAAAATTTCAGAGTTTCGGTGCCAAATTATAGAGAAACTTTTAAAATATTAAGTGATCAAAAGTGTTATTTTATAGTTTTTAAATTTCAAAAAATTTTATTTATTTTAAAAAATAATAATGTCAGATTACCGTATCAATATGTTGTTAGTCTCTAATGGTTGGATGGAAAGAAAAATTCATAAATGTTAGTGATCAAATCATAATTTTTCATAGTTGAATGATTAAAATAAAAAATTACCTAACATTGAGCTACCAAACGTTGAATTTGCCCTTAAAATTTTTACTCAAACCGCACTACAACTTGAGTCTAAATTTGATAGACTCAAACTAAAATTTATGTATCCCTTGAACCTAGCAAGGTAAAATGCGTAAGAATGTACATAGCATCTTGCTTGGAATACAAAATTTAAACTATACCAGTTAATGCTTTTTTGGCATATAAGAGAAAATTTAAGAGTAAATTAGATCTTATAAGGTTCAATTTGACACGATTAATCTTTATCAATATACCAATAAATAAATTACTATAATTAATCTGGTTAGGATGTTGAATAATGTATATTTGCAATATATAATTATTCAAAATTTTTTAATACAAAATAGGTCGTAATCTCGAAAAAAAAATAGTATGTAGGTATTACTCAATTTTTTGGTACATTAATTTGTCTAATTTTTTTCTTGGCTACATATAAACATGTAATTTAAGTACTCCAAGAGAATATATATTTATAAATCATTATGGTCCCTAAGACACTATATATATCATATGATCTTTCTAAACCACTTTTACAAATGTAGTTTGTTTAAAAGGCATGTCACGTACTGAATTTTCAAACTAAACAAGATATAATAATTTGACATTTCTTCAGCTATAGAGAAAATCTAAATTAATTTCTTCAATTCCAATGCCTTATGATTCTTGGGATATATAATTTAGACGTCCCAACGGCCCCTTTCACATTGTCATCCAAGTGATTATCATGTCGATTTTTGTTGGTTCACATTGACATAAAAACTGTTTTGAATATGCAAAAAGCAATTCTAGAAAACTTGTTCAGGTTTTCTAATCATATAATTATTTGGATTTTGAAAAAGGATTTCATATGCATTACATATGGGCCATCCAACAAATATATATGTATATCAACTTCTTTTATTTGTTATTAACATTTATTAATATTATAAATTAAACGAATCAAGTTCCTCGTAAGTTGTTATTTGATCTTAGCTTGTTAATTCGAACCAAAAACTAAGATCTAGTTGGAGTTCAAAACGATTAAGTTATCGATTTGATTGAAAAGGTTGGACCTATCACATGGTCCATAAAACCTTTAAGGCCAAAACTAATCCCTAGAAGTCACAAACTTTAATAATAATTGAATTACATTATTTTTTATCTAAAAAAAATCATAATGTAAAAATTATTAAATTTTTAATTACAAGTATTATAATTATAATTTTTAAAAAATAATTACTAAATGAATTAAATTAAAAATTGAAATTTAATTACATAAAATTTAAGTTTATAAAAAAAAAAAAAGGAACTGCTGTCATAAAATAACTTTTCAGTCGAGACATCAAAATGTTTCCTTAGAAGGACAAAACTAATTCTATTGAATATACAAATTTATTTATTTTTAATAATTTTTGGGCCAATTCATAAATGTAAAATGACGTGAAGTTCCCAACCGTCTCGAGAGTCAAAGAAGCGAGCCGTTCGGCGACCGTAGCGCGGTCGTCTCTGTAGCCCATGCATTCCGATTTACAAGAATTTGTTTTATATATATATATATATATATATATTCTTAAAAAGGAAATTGTTTTATTAGCTAAGTAATACTTCATCACCTTGCTTTTACTTCACACATATGATCACCATCCCCATAAGTATTATTATATTATTATATTTTAAAAAGAAAAATTCTACTATATATATAATATAATTAGAGAAATTATAGAATAGATTGAAAATAAAATTTTTTAATTTTATAAAATAAATTAATAGAGTGACATATATCTTTTAGTGTATATTTAAAAAATATATAAATTAATTAAAAAAGAAGTGAAATATGTATCACTTTATTTAATTTCACTTGTAGATTTAAAAAATTTTACTGATAATATATCAAATAAATTTTTAAATAACAATTAAAATTTATAATTCGTGTATTTATATTGTATTTATTTTGTATTATAATTCATATCAATATATTAAACACGAAATATATTTTTTATTTTTATCAAATTCATATATAATTTTTACTAAAATTTTAAATTATATTATTTTATATTATTTTATATTTTTTTATCGTATCATTTATCATATTTAAAATTATCGGATCATATAATAATTTAAAACAAAATCCAGCCGAACAAATTAAATATACTATTGAAGCATTCAATATCTTTTGCAGTTGCAAGCAAACATCCCCTTTCGCCATCACTCCCCACGTCCCACCACCCATTGCTCCCTCTCATCCCATATATCTTTCCTTAGTTGTCTATCTTAGCGAAATTTATCTACAAAATTGATTTTTTTTATTCATAAGAAAAAGTCATTGTTTTTCCTAAAATAATGCAAGCTTTGACTTGAAAATCTTTAAATCTTAACAGTAGAATCTCACATTATTTAGTAGAATCTTACATTATTTAGTGTAGAT